AAAATCAGTATAGTAGTTAATTTAGAATTAAAAAAAGAAGAATTGTACAGATCTATCATAAAGAACTTCCTTCGATGTTTTCAGTTCTTTTTAATTTCGAAGTTGCTTATCCCAAATATTTCATCGAAAATTCCGAAACCTACATTCAAAAATGTAAAGTTTGATGGAGAATTTCGTAGCATTCTTAATTTCAGTGGAATTTTCATAACAAAAAAACAAAAAAACTTCTAGTATATTTTGAGTTTTCTGAACGACCCAGTTGAATGGATGTTTATCATTTAAAGTTGGCACTAACAAAGAAAACTTATTTGAAAAGTCAATTAAACAGTTTTGTATAACTTCAAATTCTCTATCTTTTGGCATATAAATAAAATGTTTTTTTTTTATAGAAAGTAAGAGAAAGAAACATCAAGATTTAATGTAATTTCACCTGGAACATCTTGTACCTATCAAAGTTTCAATTTTTTTAAAAATTAATTAATAACGAAGAGTCTTTTATTATGATAGAATCTTCTATTACGGGAAGAAGTTTGTTTCGTTTTTAATATTTAAAATAAAAAAAAACAATTAAAAGATTATTAAACAAACCTGTTCCATTACTGGTATTTTTACTGTTATTAGATTCTACAATTGGATGATTTTGATCACTACTTTCTGATTGTGTCCGATGTTTTGGACTATCGAGATCCATTGCTACACATTCAAAATCATCTACAGATGCTGATGGTTCTATAATATTTCTTTCATATGTTCCACCATTTGAAGAAAGACCTAATGAAGCTTTTTTCTGACGTTTTAATAATTGTTCAATTCGACTATCAGTTGGAAGTGGTGATGTTGTTGTACTTGATTCATCAATTTTCGATAATTCTTCATCAACAGCTCGCATATTTTGATGAAAAAAACTTCGAGCTTTTGAATCATCTTCTAGTTCTTCATCTGATGATGCTGAATCCCAAAGATTATTAGATTTATTAGTTGTCCATGGATCTTGATAATCATTAGATGTTGAAGGTAATGAAGATATTGATTGTGTACCTATTAGATTTGATGAAGAATTTGGTCGTGAAATAGGAACACCAGGTGATATTGAAAAATTTTTTCTATTAAATGATTGTGAATGTTCATTAGTTGATGTTAATACATGAGGTTGATTAGTACGAGAATCAATAAATGCTTTTGTTGTTGGAGGTATAGATCGTGTTGGAAGTAGTGGCGGTAAAGCTGGGGGTGATGGTGGAGGATAAAGTGTTGATGAAGGATCCTAAAATTATATTAAAAATAAAATAGTTGTTTTTTTTTTTGAAAAGATTATTTACGGGTGAAAGTGGTGATTGTGATTGAGTATTTTCAAGACCAATTGAACTTATACGAGAAAAATTTGTTGTTGAACGTGTATCATTATCAAGTAATGATGTATAACGTTGATTTGATATTGATGGTTGTTTACCAAAAATATTATCTATATTATCATCAGGACCAATAGGTGATAATGGTACAAATGGATCAGAATTATTATCGATAGGATTTTGTTGAGATCGATTTGAACGTTTTGGAGAAAATCGTTGAATATTAGAAAGATTCTTTTCTGATATATTTGAATTTTTATTATTAATTAATGTATTTCCTGATGGAGGTAATGTATCCGACTTTTGATCAGTAAGATTTTTTAATAATGTTAATTTTTCTGTAGATTTTTGTTTATTAGCTGGATTTAATTTAGGTATTTTTCCAAGTATAACAGGAGATGGTTTTATTGAAAGTGATTCAGTTGATGTTTTTGTTATTGTTAAATTTGAAATATCTGACGATTTCTTCTCGGGTAATTTTGATATTGATGATGGTCGAATAAGTTGTTTATCACTGTTGTTATTATTTAATGAAGTTTTATTTATTGAAGTTTTAATAGGTTTTTTTGGTGTAATAGTTGGTGTGGATTTTTTAGTTGTAATCACTGTTTCTTTTTGTGTAGGCGTAGGTCTAAAGAGAAGAAATATTTATTTGTAAGAAAAAAAATAATAATAATAAAGATACACACTTTTTATATGACTTTTTTAATGATTTTTGTTCAACAGATTTATTGGTTGTTATATTAGTAATTGGTTTATTATCTTTTTTTATTTGTGATGATGAAGGATTTGTTTTTAATCGTACTTTTACTTTTGATTGATCATTAATATTTTGAGATTGTTTATTATTTGTTAGATTCACATCAATAGATGTAGATGGTTTGCCTAAGAAAAAAAATAATGAGAAGAAAAATTTTGTACGAAAAAAAAAAACAACAACTTACTGGTAGCATCTTCTGTTGTCAAAGGAATTTCATCGACAGTAGATGATGGTGATAAGGATGATGTTGGATTTGTAGAATTACTAAAAAGAAAAATAATCGATTAATATTAACCATTTGGTTACGTGGCTTATATAAATACGAACTGAACTTTTATATGGATTATAGTTTTGACAATTTTCTATTTTCCTTAAATCATGAAATGATCTCTTTGGATATGTACAAGATAGCCTCTCATAATTGGCATTGTCATATAGTTCTATAGAGAACACTTTTGAAAAGCCCGAAGATTGGTTCTCTATATCCAAAATCGTTTAAAGTTCTATGAAATCAAATAGAACTTTATTAACTTGTGTAGACTCCTCGAACCATTGCTGTTTTAGAAAGTTTTGATTACTACTGAAACGCTAATCTTACAGAAGACTAGACGTTCAATTTTATTGTCCCTATATTATAATATAGGGACTGCACGGTTATGCATGAGGCTACGCGAAGAGTACCAAAAGGTTTCGGATAACTCTATTGGACTCTGCAAGTATTGAATGTTATGATTTTGATTGAAGTTTAACGCAATCCATTGTTTTCTTTTGATATGAACAAGATGTTTGTTCACTTTCGACTCGCTAGAAAGTATTTCCGATGAGTTAGAACCAAAATTTTGTGTTCTTGTTGAATATGGACTTAGAACTTTTGTCTCACGAGAGGAAACGTTTTCAACTAATCAATTTCTTTTTAGTTCGGACTCTTTGCATAAGATAGACATCAGTGAACTATGAAAAACTTCAAAAAAAAGAAGTTCTCTTAAACCTTCTATAGAGAGTTATAGGTATTTTAACCTATAGCATGGTATATACTAAAAAATCGAATGACGGTATTTGAATCTTAGACTTCAGATAAGTCTAAAGAAATCACTCATACTTCATGAAAGATGTAAAAGTTCTTTCTGTTTTTGGGACTTTAGTATCTTTTGAGCTGGAATTTTCAGTGCATTCTACAGCTAAACAGACCTGTCTTTGGGCAAAATCTCAGTTCGAAAAACCGTCATTTGAGTTTTTAGTATATACCATGCTATAGACTAAAATTCAAGTAGATTGCCTGTAAAAATCAATTAATAATTTGAAAATGTTCCCTCGTGAGACAGAACTTCTAGGTTCATATTTGAAAAGAGCACAAAATTCTGGTTGCAACTTTGCTGACGGGTCAAAAGTGAATAAATATTTTGTCTAAAAAACTTTTCCCATCATTCGTTTCCAAGTTTCTATAAAAAAAAAAAAAAACCCTAAAATTTTTTGTCATTTTTTTGGAAAACTCCATAACTCAAAAAATTAAGATGAAAAAGAAAAATTATAATTACTTTATTAAATTTTGATCTATAGATATTGCACTTGAATTGTTTGATAATGATGATTTATTATTTAAATTTGATTTTTTAATTATTTTTGTTCGTTCATGAACAGATTCTTCAATTGTAACAGATTTTTCTTGAATATTTTCTTCATTAATTAAACAAGTCGAACGTTTTGTTGACATTGTTGGTATATCAACAGATGTTTCATTAATAGTTTCGTTTGGATTATCATTAAATAATTGTGTTGGTTTTTGTATAGTAATTATTGTTGATTTAATTGGTGATTGAACAGATATAGATGATTCAGATTGATGTATTGGTGAATAATCTGGTGATGATGAATTTGATTGTTGATCATCACCTGTTTCATCATCATATACATCTTGTCGTGTACGATAATTTGAACTATCTTGAATTAATGGTGGAACAGTTGCAACAATTAAAGGTTCATCTTGATCATCACTACTATGTGTTTGTTCTTCTTCTTCATTATTAATTGGACATGTTGGTGATACTCTATATTGACCATCAATTTTTTGAATTTTTGTTTTTATTAATGATGTACGACTATCATTATCTGTTTTTGAATGACGATGAGAAGAAATAGAACGTTTACGTAATCGTGTTGTTAATGCTATTGTTGTTGAACCTTCGTCCATTGGAATGTTTTTTATCTATTGTTAACAATAAGTACTAAAGAGAACAAAAAGAATGATGAAATATTTAAAAAAAAATTAATCAAAATTTAAATATCTTAGTACCATTTAAACATTGAAACTGAATAAAATAAAAAGAAGAAATATATTTGTTATTGTTGTTGTTGTTGTTGTTTTTTCTGTTATATGAAGAAGATTTAATAATCTAAAAAATAATAATTTTATTTATTACATTCATATTTTAATTAAACACATAATAAATCTGACAAAATAAAAAAAAAAAGAAGAATTTAAACAATTAATGGCTGTTTTTTAAAAGCTGATTCAATCATTGTTTGAGTTTGTATCCATAAATCCTCAGTTAATTTTATATTATAAACAAATGATGATGGTGAACCTTCATAACAATTATTATAATATATAGTTGGTTCATTTAAAACACATTGCATTATAGTACAAAAGATTGGTGTTGCTGCTGCTTGTTGCTATTTAAAAAAAAAAAAGATAAGAAATTGATTTTCTTTTTTTTTTTGTCTTTACCAAAGATTTTGAAAATGGACGTGCAATTGTAACAAGAAATCGATATAAATAAGAATTACGAGTTAAATCAGTATTAATTGCATTACCTGGATGACAAGCAACAGAATAAATTTCTAGAAAAAAAAAAATATATATCAATTAAATTTATTATTCTTTTTTTCAATAGATACAAACGTGGATAATTTCGTCGAAATTCTGCAATAAACATAATTAAACAAAGTTTTGATTGACCATATGCAATTAAATGATCAAAATGATTTGATGAACGTGGACTTAATCGATCTGATATAATACCATTAAGCATTGAAATACCTGGACTTCTAAAATATTTTTAAATTAATCAACAAACTATAATAAACAAAAAATAAAAATAAATAAATCGAAAATTTATTTTTACTCTACTCGATGAGATTCACAACTAATTGCAATAACACGTGGTAGACTATTAGTATTAGTTGTTAACATTGATTGAATTAAACCAAAAGTAAGATATGCTTGTGACATATAATTAACTTGAAACATTTCTTCATAACCATCTTCAGTTAATTTAAATTTTGGATTTAAAACACCAGCATTTAATATAAGAAAATGTAATGGTCTAAAAAATATCATTTGTTTTAAATGTTTTAAGTCGATTTATTTCTGTACGTATAGAAAAAGAAAACAAGATAAAGAACTCGACCTCTTCTATAACAGATGACATACCATCAGGCTTTTCCTTCCCCTGAGACCTATTCACGTCGTAATGACATTGTCTGTTTATTTTTATTTCACTTTCTATCAGAGAAATAATGTTTCGAAATCTGGATTCTGTTCACAGTTATCACGAAGCTGTAAAAACATTAGCAGAAAATATTAAGAATCCTGACAGAAAGTCGAGTGTTCTGAGAAGCCATGCTCGAATCTACCCTAGATTGAACAGGTAAAGGTTTGAGTTCACCTTGTATTCAAATAGATAATGACTTATCAAAAGAGAACAAGCTGATTTCCATCGATAGAAATCAGTTTATTCTTCTTTGAAATTTATATAAACTCGAATTATTATAAAAATTTTCTAACAAATCATGTATTGTTACAAGATCAGTCCATATTTTATCTATTACTAACTCGTGTTCAATTAGCATAAGCGGTAAAGCCACCACAAGACTTGAGAAAGTGAAAGCCTACTCTAGATTCACGCTTCATAGGCTCAAGCATTTTCTTTCTTCCTTCAAATTGGTAGATTTGAGTAGCGCATCGCATTTTTTGGTACAAACGCCTATATTTTTCACTACCTCCGGCAACTATTTTCTCAATCAAGCAAGCTAAGAAAAGGTTGAGTTTTAGATTATACATCATCAATGAATTGAAGTATGGATCCTTCATTACAAGTGAAGAAGAACTGTACAAAAAAAAAAAAAAAAAAAAAGAAGTCTGAGTTAGATTAATAACTAGAATCTATCAAAAATTTTCCTTTGCCTTCAGCAATTAAGATTATATGCCTATTAAATATTTTCAACAATAAAAAAGTTCACAATGCGACATGTTTTTTTTTAGTTTGTAAAACATTTCTTCTTTGCTATTAGACTTTTTTTATACGGTCTCAAGAATAAAATTTAAAATTAAACGTTGTACTATTTATTGATATTTTATATTAAATAATAACACTTACAAACATTCTTGTCGATATTGTTCAGCAAATTGTTTAACATTACGTAATGAACATAAATCTAATTTTCGACAACTAACATTTGCATTTTCCTATAATATATTAATTATTTATATTTTAATTAAATTTAAATAATTTTTTTTCTTTTATATTTTGATTTAAACAACTATTCAATATTTTAATAAACGATATATAAAAACAAAAACAAAAAAATACCTGTTCTTTAAGAATTTTTGAACATGCAGCTTCACCTTTTGTCATATTTCGACAAGCTAAAATAACTTGACAACCATGTTTTGCTAATGAACGAGCTATTTCAAAACCTATTCAAATATATTTTTTTGTATTATATTCTGTTTCGAAGATATTTACCTATGCCAGTATTAGCACCAGTAATAATAGCTGTTTTATTACTTAAATCTATTCCATAAAGAATTTGTAATGCATTTGATTGATGTCCATATTGTGTACTAGAATCTTGTGTTGTTGCATCTTTCGTAAATGCTAAACGAGGATCACTAGTTGTACAAATTTTATTTTTTTCACTAAATATAAAAATTAATTCTTACAAAATATACAATGATAGAAGAGATTATTTCTAGATCCTAATAAGATATTAAAAATCTCAGAGAGATTAGAATGTTCTGAAAATTTCAGTTCAAAAGAATATTCTTTTAAGCTTCATTGGAGTCAAAGAGTCGCAATTTAAAAGTAATTTTCAAATTGATAAAGTTCTCTTGTAAGAAATAAAATTTTCATATCTAATAATTAATCATCAAACATACTCAACATAAAAAACATTGCCATTTTTTTCAATAATTTCTTTCCAACCAAATGGTAATTCTAACAAACAAACAAACAAAACCTAAACTTCATTCAAAAAATTTAATTATATACCTTTAGGTATAATTTTAACTTTATTCGTAACTGGATGTTCCCATTGTGTTATTTGTGTTTGATGATTAATATAAAATATTCGTCCATCAGTTGTTTTTGCTTCTTCCCAATTACTTGGAAGTTCATCATCAGATTCATCATTCATCTTTTATCTTAAAAAAACAAAACAAAACGTTCTTATATGGATCGGTATTCAAAAAAAACCAAAAGCAAGCAAACATCACTCAACGATAATAAACATAAAAAAAATGATCGATCATTTCAAGTTTTTATTTCTATTTTTCTAATTTTCTAATTTTCTTTTTCAACTAAAACACCTGAATCTTGTGGTTCTTTTTTTGTTGTTCCCGAATCTGTAGAATTATTAGCAGATTTTGTTATTTGTTGTTGTTGAGTTGGTCGTTCATAAGAAAAATGTATATCATATTTTTGTTTATAACCAGTTAATTCTTTAGCTTTTTCTTCTGTTTTTTGTTTAAAACTTTCAATAACATTATTAATTTGTTCACGATTAGCTTGAAGTGCTGGTACAACTTCACCAACAGTATGTTCAATAAGAACACCACCAATCATACGATAACAACGACGTTGTTTATCAGTTATTGTTGATAATGTTGAAAGAACAAGATCATGTTCTTTTAAATCCATTTCTAAATCTTGAGTTTTTTGTACTAATTGTGTTTGTTCATCACGTAATGTTTGAAAACCTGAAACAATTTTTTGTTGTTCTTCAGCTGTTAATGCTGGTTTTTTTCCTGATGATGAAGGATTTTTATTCGCCATCTAGAATATATAATCAATATAATTATTCAAAATAAAAAAAAAATATTTTAATCTAAGATTTAAAATTTCGTAAGAACAACAAAAAACAAAATTAAATCTTTTTTGTTTTGTATTGTTTAAAAGAAAATCTATTAATAAATTTACATGTGCCGACAACTAATAGATTAATAATGTCGCCGATTCAGTGATGACATCATATTAAAGAAGAAGAAGAAGAAGGAGAAGAAAAAAAAAACTTCAGAGACAAATAAACAAGCAGAAACAAATATATATGATAAGTACCAATAAAAATTTATTTCAAAACCTCTAAAATTATCAATATTTATTTAATATATTAAAATAAAATATTTTTCAAAAGAATTTAATCATTATAAATATAAAAACAAATAATATTTGATTAAATAGATGTCGTTAAATAAAAGTAGTTATTCTTGTTGTCAAGAGAACGATCAGATCGATGGAATGCCAATTGAACCAATAAAAGAATTGTCATTTATTTCAAATAAAAAAAAAATTAATACCCTGGATTGAAATCAAAATGTCAGAAGATGATTTTGATAAATCATTTTCAACTTTAATCTCAAAATTAGGTTAAATAAAATATCTTTTTTTATGTATAAACTAGATTTTGCTTTTTTTTTGTTTCGAATAGGTCATCCTGTTGAAGAAATTCGTCTTCGTGCACTTGAAAATCTTCAAGCTAAACTTGATTTAAAAATTATTTCTGATATTGATATACTTCAATATAAATATTTATATATTAAATTACTTGAATGGTTTAATTTTTCATCAGCATCGAAACGCGATATTGTACTTGATATAATTTTAAAACTTTCGAAAGTATGTTGTTAATGAAAAAACCACCCGCGAAACAAAAAATAAATTATATTGACTGGAATTATATATGCCATTTTCTTTGATCACGTTTTGTGAATTCTTAATTATCATATAGACTATCTCTCTTTAGAAGTTCGAACCAAAATTATAGATACCATCATTCAGTGGCGGATCTAGAAATTTTTGAAGGAGGTGGCGGATAAGTGGAATGAGCGAAAGGGGGGTGGCGGATGTGACAAAAATGTAAAATTTCCAAGGAAAACCACTAGAAAAAACCGTGAAGTCAAACCCGAGGGGGGAGGCGGTCGCCACCCCCGCCACCCCCTGGATCCGCCACTGCCATCATTTTGTTTTTAATTATTTGTGAAGTGATAGATTTAACATTCTTTCTGATGTACCATCGAAAAATAAGTGTGTAACTGAGTAATTTTTATTTTCTAGAAAATCTTCAGTAAAGATTTGATTATTATAGATCCAAGATTTTTCGAATTTTGTGTATATAGAGAACTCAACTCTACTAATTGAACAAAGCTTCTTCGAGATATGAAGTTTTCAAAGAAATGCCTGTCGTATATAGTTATCCATGGAAAAGAGTCTCATATTTCGAAGAGACTTTGTTCAATATTTTAAGGAAGTTAATTAGTTGATTTCTCTATAGACATAAAGTTTCCGATCTAAATTCGATAGGTTAATTAATTCTTTTGTTTTTATAAAGAATGAATCAGCAGCATATAATCTACATTCAATTGGTGCTGTGGATTTTTTTAATGCACTTCGAATTGATTTAACACCTGAACTTGAACGTCGTGTTGATCAAATTCTTGAAAATATTCTTTCACAACATTTTATTACACAATCAACATCAAATCTTAGTCGATCAAATTCATGTATAAATATATTCTTTGTTTTTCTTGATTAAATCAAATAGATCATTTTTTTGTTTTAGCATCATGTCAACTTGTACGATCAAATATTCATATAGATTCAAGAAATTCAACAATGTTTCAATCACCTACAATTAATTTAAGTCAACAACAAACAGATTTATCATTTCATCAACATGATAGAACTAATTCTATAGTACAAAATTTTTCAAATCAATCAAGCATGAAAGGAATATTAAAAACAACTACTGCACCATCGATTTGTAATCTATTGTCGACAACAACTGAAGGTGAAAAACTCAAAAAAAAAAAAACATAAAAGATAAATATTTTAAATAATTTTAGATAATCAAAATGGATCAACATGTCAATTTATAACATTATTTCCATTAATTCATTTAACACAATCAGATCGAACTGTTCTTACAAATTTAGAAAAGTAGAATTTTGTTTTTTTTTTTTGCCTCCAAGAAAAATTGATTTATTTTTATTATTGGGTTTTTTTTTCTAGTGCTCTTTTATCACGAGATGATCCTTCAATTGTTATTAGTCATTGTCATTTTTTATCAAATGTTGTTCTTAATGATTTTCCTGCAGAACTTTTCTTACAAAGATCATTTATTATTAAAGTAAATTTCGATATATAATTTTAAAAAAGAAAAATTCTTTTTTTTTTTTTTTTAATTTCTAGCGTTTACTTGCTTTATTAAATGAAAATAATGATGATCTTACTAAAGCATCACTTTCATGTTTGAAAGATTACTCAATAAATTTACAAAGACGAATTAAAATTCTTCGAGATCCAGCTTGTTTTTGTCCAAATTATAATTCATATTTAGGTATAACAAAATCTTAATATGATTAACAAGAAATCAAAAGTTACGAACGATTAATAGAATATGTAAAATAAATTCTTTCATAACAATTGTGGGATCTAGATGAATTCAACTTGTACTTGTCCTTTGAGACTATTCTTAATTGTTAATCTGTATGAAATCTTTGTCAAATTTTATGAATTAGTTTCAAAGACAATAATTTAAATTCTACAAAGTTATGATGTTATAGATACAAATTTTAGTTGTGTTAGCTCTCTCTTTTAAGGTCACTATAGTTTTTGTTGTAAATACACACAGAGCGTAAAGTATTATCTCGTTCATCTAAAAACTCTTAAGGTTTAATATATGTTCTTTCCAATTTATCTCACTATTGAAATATTAATAGAAATCTGAATGAATTAAAGTTCTACAAACACCTTCTCAGAGTCAATTCAATTGAATTCTACAATAGGTATAAATTTATAAAGTATAGCCTATAGAGATATCTCGGTAAGACTAGGAAAAAGTCTAAAATGATTTGTTCACATAGGATCTTTGGATCTGAGTTATAATCATTTTTACTGAATTTTCAACGTGAAATTTTGTCTATAAATAGATCTAATAATCTGAAGAATATTCTAAAAGTTTCAATTAAAAAGCACATTCATTTGTTGAGTTATTGAGAATTACCTCTTTTAAACTTTTGCTAGTCTTGTCAAGACATCCTTGCGGGTATCAGTTCGAATGATTTTCTCATTTATATTTACCTACAATGAAAAATTCATTTAACTATAAAGTTTCAATTTAGATGGAGTAAAAGAACAAATTCTTGAAGATTTTAATAATACTATGACAAGTGCACGATCTGTTTCTTCAATTAGTTCAGCAACATCAAATGGTTATCGTCATCCATCACAATGGTAATATTCAATAAATTGTTTTTTTTTTTTTTTTATAGAACAAATTCATTATTTATTTTTGTAGGTCTTTAAAATATGATGAATCTTGTACTCAATTAGATCAATCATCATCACCATCATCATCATTTGATATATTGGATTTTTGTTATGCAATATTACTTGGAACATTAGATTTATTACGTCGATTAACAGTAAAAGATTGTCTTCATACATGTTTACAATTAAATAATTCTATATGTCATATTATTGATTTATTTGTTAAACATAATTATGGAACAATGAATGTATGAGAACAAAAAAAAAAAACAACACACTTTCTTTCAATATATATATATATATTCTTTTTAGTTTGAATATTATTCTGTACTATTTTATCGTTTACATTCATTAATTAAACAACAATTAACAATTGGTTATACATTTCAAAGTCGAACAATATATATTCATAGTTTACATATTTTTTCAACACTTTTACATACAATAGAATGGTCAGATGAAGTAATTTATTAATTTAAATTTTTTTTTGTTTAACATTTTATTTTGCGTTTTTTTTTTTTTTTTTTTTTGTCAATAGATTGTTAATCAATTACCACAAGAATTTAATGAATTAATTTATTATATTTTAATGGATGAATGTTTTCATTTATCATATCCACATATACAAGAATGTTTATTACCAATAGCTGAAAAATTTGATAAAGATAATTATCAAGTTTATATGAAATCAAATGAAGTTTGTTGTTCATTTTCAGCTGCTTGTCAAATTTTAACAATTGATGAAAATAAAACGCAAGTAAATAATCAAACGAAAAAAAAAAAGAAGAGTATATCGGATTCGAATACAGTTAATAGAAAAATTTTAGACCCAGGCTCAGATCGGTACCTCGAACACGGCTTGGACTCGATCGAATTTGAGTCTTCGACTAACCCGACGAGCTCTAATAAGAAAAGCAAAAAAAAAAAAAAGAAATGAACTTCTTGATTTTGTTTTCAATTTAGAATTTTATGAATATTGTGAAAAATGCTAATGAAGCTTTATTAGGTTTACTTTATCATTTAAATTTTAATGTTATTAAACGTTTTGTTAATATTTGTTCAAAAATGTAAATAGAATAAATGTTAATGAAAGAAATTTAAATATTTAACCTTTTTTTTGTTTTGTTTTATATGTTTTAGTTCAACAGATAATTCGAAATATGATTTGTCGGAAAAGAATTTTTCACTTGATGTTTTAATTAAATATATGACACATGAATTAGCTGAAATACGTACAGCTGTTTATTGTTCTATAGCAATGCTTGTTGCAGTAAGAAAAACATCTTCGATTGAAAATCGAGTATAATACGAATGATGTTTTAATTTTTTTTATAGAGTCGTTTATCTGTTGAAGAAACAGTTAAAACAACTAATAAATTAAAGAAAAAACCAACTATAGCTGCAAATTTTGATGATACACAATTTGTATGTAATATTCGAATAATGACTGAATTATGTATTAATGGTATGAATGATTTAGCAACAAAAGTAAATTATTTTAATTCTTATAATTATCTCTATTTATTTTAATTAATATTTTAAAGGTTTCAGATTATTCTCGATTAATTCTTCTTCATCTTCTTCAATCAAAATTATTAGTATCAAATGAATATTGGCATAATCTTATGACAATTATTGCTATACTTTTACCACAATTACAAGTAGAAAAATAATTTGTTTTTTGTTTTTTTTGTCTAATATAAAAAAATATATTTTTGTCTGTTAGTGTTATGCTAATAAAATTGATCCACTTGGTCAATGTATTTTAGTTTTAACATCAGATACTGAACGAGAAAATGAATCTTTATTAACATTAAATCAACGTTTACAAGCATCACTTCGATATTTATTTTCAAAAGATAAAGAGTAAGATACTTATCGAATTGATAGAAAACTTCAAAAATACTTTCAACTTGATCTTTCAGAGATTAAAAAACGAACAAAAATAAATGAGGTGTGTGAAAGCTTCTAAGTCTTTTCACTTGAACTGGATTATTAAGTACTTGATTTCGTGCAGATTTTGAAGTCGACACTCGATTTTTCACATAGCTTGAAGGAGATCATAGGTTTTTTTGTTGAAAAACCTAGTAAAATTTCAATATCTCGAGAAGAAAGGCTCTAAAAACCAAAGCATTCTAGACTTTTTTTCTTACTCACTAGCACTCATCAAATAAACATCGTCTTGGTCGAACGATGATTTGACTCTTGGAGATGTACTATCGAGAGATATGTTGACCTATTTGAAATCAGATATAGGGTCATTTTTGAATCTGTACCATTTTGTAGTTCAAGTAGCCAACAGAGAAGATTTTTAGACTTTTTTTTGAGTGATCGTGTGGTTTATAAGAGCTTTCATAAGTATTTTCTAATATTTTAAAGATATTTTAGTCAATTATTCTTTTCTTTCCTCATCCCTTTTTTTTGTTTTATTTGAAATTGATTTTGTTTATTTAGTGTTCGAAAAACAGGTTATCGTCAATGTGTTGGTTATTTATTATCAAATACTCGTATAAGACTTGATGATTTTTATCAATTTTATCCAGCTGATAAATTATTTGATTTATTTATAACTGCACAACCAACAAAGAATGCAGAAATTTTAACAAAAGAATATGTTAATGTAATTTTTAACATCAGAATTTAAGAAATTTTATTATTATTATTATTATTTCATTTTAGGTTGAAAATTTTCTTCGTGTTTATACAATATTTACTGATCGAAATAAAATTGAAGCAAATGTTCGTAAATCAGCACTTGAACAAATGTCAATGATGTTAGATGATCCATCATTACATTCATCATTTCTTAATCATGGTGGTTTAGAAAGAATTCTTGAAGAATTAAAATTAAATTTAAAACGTGATGATATTGTTTGTTCAGTAAGAAAAAAACAAATTTGTGACATTCAATTCAAAAAGAATGTTGACGTTATAGAGAATAAAAATTTGGATCGACATACGTTGATATACGACTCACAGACCTTCTGTTAATGATGTTTTCTTATTATAGAGGGACCACATCTTATTGGATTTCTGAAAGATTAAGTAAAGGATGGATGAAAGAAACAAGCTCATTCACACACACGTATGTCCTCACATCATCCACATTCAAAAAGACTAAAGGGTGACAATGAGCCTCTATAATATAAGCATCTCCTCATTCTGGACAATGAGCGTTTATTTAAACAATTATGGAACATATAAGAAGCGGATGAGCTCATCGTGCATATCTAGAAGGAAAAAAAACACATTGTTAGACAGTAACAACAGTGTCTGGTGAAGGGTGTGGGAGAAGAGAAGACTCAGACCCCCTGTTCAAAGCACACTTCATAGTTATTTCAAAAAAAAAATAGATAACTATTTGAACTAATACATTATTGAAAACAAGAAAAAGATTAGCTTATGCAGTCGAACAGTAATTGCAAGTGAATACTTATCATTTGAAAAATAAACAAAGGAAAATCTCCCAATAATGAGTACTTCCGTAAACTGAGCAGTTTTGACCAGTTCCGATGATGCTCATCTTAGAAAGATTTTATTGTAGAATAAAACAATCTTGCTGTCAATAGCAAGTGCAGTTATGTCGCATTTCATATTTTAATCCTGTGGGGCCTGTACTAATAGGTTTTTTTATTTTTTAGACGGATTATACTTCAACTGTTCCAGCATGTACAAAAATAATTCGATTATTAATACAATATAATAGAAATTTACAAAAGAAATTTTCATTAGATAATGATTTACTTAAACTTTTATTTAAATGTATGAATAATGAAATATAAAAATTTATTATTTTTTGAATTTTTAATATTTAGTAACTGTTTGTTGTTATAATGATCTTGAAATCGTTTCAAATTTAACTCATACATTTATATTACTTCTTTTTGATCGAACATTACATATGAATACATTAACAGATCAAGAATTTCAACAACAAACATTTTCTATTGATTTTCTTTTAGTTAAAAAGTAATTGAAAATTTTTTTTGAAATAAATTCAAATTTGTTTTTTTTTTTTATATTTGTCATAAATTAGTTTTCAATTTCCAATTCGTATTCCAATTCAAACATCAACTTCATCAATAATAACAACAGCACTTAATCGTCCTGATCCATTACGAGAACCAATTGTTCAACAAAAATTTCGTTTTATTTGGAATACATTATGGCATGGAAATGTTCAACAATTAGATCATGATATGGATACAATATCATTTAATAATGATGAACAAGTCGAGTATGTTTTAATCTAATAATAAAATTTAATCATAAAAAAAACAAAATGAAAATATAAAGAAATTTTTTTTTTTTTTTGTTTTCTTTGAAATTTTAGATTTCAAACTAGTATGATATTAAATGAAAATGATCGAAAATGTTTTTCATTAACATATACACGACGAACTATTCGTCTTCAATTAAATTTATTAAATGAATCAAATAATCATGAATCAGTTATTGAAACATTAAATGCAATAAGATGTCTTCTTTTACTTGTTACACATGACAATGTCCATTTAATTGATTTTAATCAATTAGGAGCAATACTTGATAAGTATGAATTAAATCAATTTGAGAAAGATATATTCTATAAAAAAAACAACTGAATACTTCGATTTAATTGAAAAACTTCTAATAATTTTAGTCAGGAGTTTGTCTGCAGAGTCATGCTAGCTTACGCGTAGGGGTGTCAGTTTCGGGTTCCGTTCCTGGGAACGGGAACCCGCACCGGGTTCCGGGTTCCTAGGAACGGGAACCCACTTGAAAATTCATTTCTGTGCATTTTTGAACGCACTAGAGTTCATAGACATACTTTTTCTTTCGTTTTGAGACAAGTCTCTTCGGGTTCCTGGGTTCCCAGGAACGAGAACCCGCACCGGGTTCCGGGTTCCCAGGAACGGGAACCCACACCGGGTTCCCACAAACTGGGAACCGCACCTAAATTTCTATTCTGAACGATTTGCAATAGGGTTCCTCATTCTTAGGAACCCGTGGCGGGTTCCCGTGCCTAGGAACCCGGAACCCGATGCGGGTTCTCATTCTCGGGAACCCGGAGAGACTTGTCTCAAAACGAAAGAAAAAGTATGTCTATGAACTCTAGTCTGTTCAAAAATGCACAGAAATGAATTTTCAACTGGGTTCCCGTTCTTAGGAACCCGGGAACCCTGAGTGACTTGCTCAAAACGAAAGAAAAAGTATGTCTATGAACTCAAGCGCGTTCAAACATGCATAGAAATGAATAACCAAGTGGGTTCCCGTTCCTTGGGAACGGAACCCTTGAGGAACGGGAACCCTGACACCCCTACTTACGCGTCCGGCTGCATTATGTAATTTAAGGTCGCATAAAGATGATGAAAATACATCTAATGATGAAAGTAGAGATAATGAATGGTGTTGATTTTTTTATGTCGTAAAAATCACTTGTTAATGCAGTGTGGATGTTCTTTTGTGTTATTTTTTTTCTATTTCATATTATTTGACTATTGGATTGACAACTTTCGTTTATTGGACATTATAATTGCAAAAAATTAATGCTAACGAAATGAAATTTTCGAAGTTTCTATAATTTACATTAACTCAGATTTCAATGCAAGGCTCTAATCTGCATAGATCAGGATTTTATGTTTCTAATAACTTGTAGGACTTGATAATGTAAATATCGATATTCTAGTTCAACAATTGGATGACTTCGAGAAATATAAATCCTACTGATCCATTTCAACAATAAATTTTCTTTCCTTTTAAAAACATCATGTTGTTTATTATCGAAGAAAACTTGCGATCTGTTCTTTTTTTTGTTTATCTATTGTCTAGATATTTCAAAGTAGTTCCAACATCATGTCAAGATGAAAAACTTCTTCAATCAATATTCGAACTTCTTGAACAAATTTCTTATGGTTTACATCTATCAATAAAAAATGATGATCATCAATTTTTCAATTGGTTTAAACATATATTATTAAATCCTTTTATATCTTTACTTGCATCAAATAAAGATTTTGTTGAAATGCGACAAACAAAAAGGTTTTGTATTTTGCTTTAAATTATTTTATCATATTGAAAACAAAAAATTATTTCGATTCGTTAATTCTTGTTTTTTTGTTTAGAGATTTATTAAAAAAATTATTTCGATTTTTATCATCATTTTATTCACATTCAATTATATCATCGGAATTTTTTACTGATAAACTTTTTTCAAATATTTTAACTTATGTTAAACAAAGTAATAGTCATACATTTTCAAAATTAACATTAATAACTGGTGCAACAGATGTTTTACATCATATTACATTAAAGTAGAATAAAAAATTTTTAATTTTTTAATTTAAAAAGTTTTATTTTCAAATAGATCGAAATGGTTTGTTATATTTAATAATGAATATCTTCAACAAATGGCTGATCTATTGATTGCTGTATGTAATTTAGTTTTTTTCTATTTTAAAATGCTTGGTAATTCGAAGGAAAAAAAAACTAGACTTGAAACTCAAATTTTTCAATTTGTCTTATTCAGAATTGAAAATTCTTTTCTTATGATAACTACCAGAGTATCTATGCGGAAATCTTCCTACACTATAGCGCATCGTATAGGAAATTTTCAATAATTACATAGGGATTTCGAATATTTGTTCGAATTGTTGAGTTCTAAATTATTATTTATAAATAGGTTATTGAAACTTTTCATGAAGGAAGAAAAGAAGCATCATCAGGATTTATGGCTCATGCTGTAATACGTGCATCATCTCAGACTTTATTAAATATAATATTAGCATTAAAAAGTACACTTTCAACATCAAATCGTCGACAAGAAATGGTAACGAAATGAAAATTTTTCTATATAATTGTTTTGTTTTTCTAGTCTCTTTTACAAGAATGGCTTGAAACATCAAGAACATCTTTTGATTGGTTAAGAAATTTATGGTTTTATACAGATATTGAAATTCGTATAACATCTTATGCATTAACAGGAATTTTTATTGCTGATGAATTTGGTCGTGATATATTATTTTCATCACAAAATAAACTTGAAGAAGCACAATTACTTGCAATTATTCTTGATGAAAATGAATGTAGTTTTGTTAAAGAACAAGTTAGTAAATTATTTATTTATTTTTTTCTTTTGAAATTTTTATTTATCTTTATTTAGGTATGTAATGTATTAATTAATTTAACTTATACATTAATTGATGATGAAGTTAAATTAGCAACAGGAGTAAAAATATCATTTTTTTTCTTGTTACTTTTACTTTTCAATTGTTTTGATTTATTAGAATTCAATTGTTACTCTTCCAGAATTAATATCTGCTATAAATGATTGTGATTTTATGCAAAGAATTGGTTCAAGTGTTTTTTCAAATTTATATCCATTTGTTGCACTTGATTTAGATGCACTTCGAATGAATCAAACAACATCATCACCTGTTTCACCTTTATTTCTTGGAAATTTATGTTCATTTTTATTTAATTTAAATATACTTGGAATTAATAATGATACAATGGATTTAATTAAATTACTTCTTTCGTAAGTTTTATGAAAAAAAAATTTTTTTTTTTTATTCTAAGATTTTAGAATTTGAGTTTTGAATTATTTCACTTTTTTCGATAATTAGTTATCTAGTTTTCGAATTGTAAATAATTTTGACAAGAATGATCATATTTGAAAGTATTTGATTAATTGAATCACAAATAGATGGTAAACATAACTAACACGATCAATTCTAGACAAGACTATGATCAAAATCAAAGTCTCGTTGTAGATAGTCATCGAATGCTACTAACGAGAGAACATTCCCAAGTGATCCTCTTCGTTTACTCCCATATTTTTCCAGTATGTAGAAGATTACTAGGGTAGCATAATCTTTTTTACTCATGTTTAGATTTAGTCGAGATAGTGATCGGTGGTGGTCACTTCCCAATCTTGGAAAATATTCGCTTTTTTCCTAGCGAAACTGAACACTTTTTTTTCTGCCCACCAATTTACGAAACAAGGATCGATCCTTTCCAGTCTTGGTGACCTTGAGACATCCCCGATAGTGACTATTAAGTAGACTATGTTGTGACATATATCTTCTCTTGTAGTTAATTAGTATGTAAAAGAAAGTTCAAATAATTGAGTGAAAAAACTTTGTGTCAGGCTGGTCTTCTATCCAGAGCAACAGCTAGTATTAGTTGTAGGAATGATATCGAGCTATTGAATTTGTGGATAGGCAGAGGTATTCTTTCTTAATCAAAAAAGCTAGGCATGAGCAGAAAAAAGTCTCATAAAATCGATCAGATTTATATTGAAATCAGCCTATGTTATTTATATATGCAAAAAATATGAAGGAGAATATTAAGACAGTGAGAGAGAGAGAGAGGCATCAAATCTTACATTAATTTGTATTTATCTTCTACTTTGTTTTTATAACATATCTCAGTTCAACGATCTATTGCTCTTATCATACACAATTGTTCATCCGATAAAAAATTGAAATTGTATTTTTCTTGTTTTATTCATATTTAGTTTTCTTGATGTTCGTCCATTAGAATCAGAAATAAATAAAAATGTAACACCACATGAATATCATTTATTTCTTGATAATATGTTTTATATGTATACAAAAATTGCTCAATATTTACGACTTATTTTTGAATCAAATATTGATATAATAAATGAAATATTTAATAATGAAAATTTAATTCAAATAATAACTCTTCTTGCTTATTTTCCTGAAAATAATTATAATCGATCGGAAAATTTTTGGCAAACAAAAATTAATCTTGCTCATTTAATTATTCATATTTTACTTCAACAATCTTCATCATTACATCAATTAACAAATAATACAATTGTTCAATTTGCATCAGAACTTTTTAGTAAATTTCTTTCATTAAAAACTTTTTTTCAAAAAAAAAATGAATCATTGATGTATGTTTTTTTGTTTTTCTACAGGCATTCTTACTTTACCATTACAAACAATGATTAATGGTTCGATTAGTGTTGCTATATCTATTATATTACAATTATTATCATTATCAATAGCACAATGTACAGTTGATCAAGAAAGAGAAATATGGAAAATTTTTTTCGATCAAACATCAAATAAAAATGGAATAAAAATTTTTAATCAATTATTATTAATTTATGAAAATCGACTTAATACAGAATCAAATGATACATTGAAATTAACTGTATCAAATATGATTAAATCATTATTAAATATTAGTATAATAGCTAAACAAGAAGCAATCGAAAGTGAGAATAGAAATAGAATATTAAATTTTTATTTTTTTTTTCTAATCGTGTTTTATATTTTTAGAAGGTTTTATTGAATCACAAATAGATCATCTTAAACGTATTCAAACAAAATTAACACTTTTCTCACTTCAATCTGATAAATGTGTGAGTAAAGTAAGTAAAATCTTGTTTCGAAATGAATGATTTATTATTGAAATTTTTATCGTACTAATTATTTTAGGATGATATATTAATTGATGAATGTATTCAAGTATTATCTATTCTTAATAATTTATCATTCGATTGTTCATCTGCTAAAGTAAATAGTTTTCTTTTTGATTTGATATTATCAGGTTTTTTTTTTGTTTTGATTTTTATTTAGGATATTCTTTCTTCAAGTGGTTTAATTCCATTTCTTCATCAACTTTGGTGTTGGGCTATTGTCGATGTTCAATTATTAAATGTTCTTCTTCTTCTTCTGACAACACTTACTGCCAAACATCGAAAAGGTTCGTGTGTTATAGTTTTCAATTCATGCAGAAATTGTCCAAATTCATACTTGTGATTCGAGCTCATATTGAACTTGCAAAGACGTTTTGATGAGACTAGTAAAAGTCTAAAAGGACTTGTCTCTATGAGTCTTTGTAGCTGAGTTATGATTGTTTTACTGAATTTTCGATCAAAAAAGAATTTCGATGTAAAATTTTATCTATAGATAGGTCTAATGATCTGTACAATATTCTGAAAGTTTCAATGAAAAAGAATGTTTCTTTATCGAGATATTGAATTTTTAAGTAAACTCGATTTTTGTTATAATTATGAATTGAAATTGCGAGTGTCAAATTCGAATAGTTCCCTATTCATTTTTTATATTTATGCTTATTTAAAGGTTGTGTTAGTGTATGTAGTACAATTCTTCCATCAGCAAATTCATTTGTTGTTCAAACATCTGATCAACAACGTCCATTATCGAATTTACTTTCTTATGTTGTTCGTCTTATAACAAAAGCATCATTATTATCTGTAGCTAATAATAATTCTCCTAGTAAAAATCAAACAATTGAAATGGCATTTGATGTTATACAAAATTGTTCACTTGAAATTGAAGGACGAAGTATTATGTATAAATCAAATTTTTTTCAAATATGTATTGATCATTTTGAACGTGTATCACGTGATATTAATCGATATGATAGACGTTTTCTTGATGTTATTATTAATATATCATTTTTTACTGATGGACAAACTAGTTTACTTAAAAGTCCTGGTAAAAATAAAGATTATTTTTTGTTGAATTTTGAAATTTTATCTTTAGAAATATTTGCTATTATAATTCGTCTTGCTCAATCATCATCATCTTCTATTTTACAACGTCAAGCTCTTCTAATTCTTCGAAATTTAGCCTTTTCTTCTACTCATAAAGCGAGAATTGTAGCTGAACGTAAGTTTTTTGTTTTTTTTTTAAAAACAAATGTCACACTATAGTTGAACTAACATTAGATAATGAAGTTTTATTGCTTCGAAAAAAAAAATCAAATCGAGAGTTTCGATTTTTGAGATACGATGAACGAAAGGATTTTTTTTCTTCTATGATTTTTGAAATGAATATCGAAAATATAAGTTGTATAAACAGATTTTTTACATTTGATATTTTTTGTTTATTTTATTAATATTAATTTCATTTGATTTTAGTTAAATATATTCCAACGATAATGTCACATGTTGTCTCAAAAACGTCAGATATAGCTTATATTGGATTAACTGCTTTATGGGCACTTATTGTCGATGCTCAAAAAGTAAACATTTTAAATCTGTTTATTTAGTATTTTTTGTTTCTTTTTACTTGTTATTCTTTATTTTTCAAGGGCAAAGTAGCTGTTCGAAGTAGTAATGTATTACCGGCTTTGTTCGATGTCAAAACTCAACAACGAAATAAAGAAAATCTTTTATGCTATCATGCAGTATCAAATGTTATTCAACTATTAACAGAAGATTAAATCTTTTTTGTGTTTATACGTGTTTAATGATTGTAGTTTATTAATAAATCTTTTGATAGATGAATTATTTCTACGTTTAGAAGTAGAAAAAAAAACGAATGAAATCATGTAATATTTTAATTTATTATGATTGGTTTCTAGACATTAACAGTAATCTGTCTCTATTGAGTGAGCTGATTTTAATTATAGCTTGATATAATTTTTGTGTTGATTAGCTAAAAATATTCACTTACGGAAATTCAATAGTACTCGAATCCATATAAATATTTTTTTTAGGTCGAAATACGCCCGAATCAAGTTTGATGTGCGTCCGGAACGCGACCAGTTGCGTAGTTTAGATAAAATATTGTTTACATTTAGATGCGCTTCAACACAATTTTCATTCACACCGCATTTCCAATGCAACATCTTTTGCGTTTAGATGTAGTTTATGACAAGAACATATCTGGACTCATTTCATATGAAATATTAAAAATAAATCTCAATTCAATTCAGATTCGAACAGATATGCTATTAACATAATGTTACTAATGGTCTTAGCCTAACTTGTGAAATGAATTGAATTATTGTTGTCAATGACTAAAGTCACATTTAAAGAAGCGAATCAACAATTGGAAGTTGTGCATATACACAATGAAACTATACAAGACCGAAATATTTCCTCATTCAGAAGATTGTATATGTGAAACGTAGCTATGTACTTCTAACTTGTCAATGCAAGCATATTGACTTTCGTGCAACTGGAATATTGTAGATTATATGCATTTTTTGTGGACATAGGATTCTTCGACAGATATTTTCATCATAATCAACATTGGCAACAGACAAAGAATATTCATGTTCGATTGCATATTTTTACAGACGGTAGATAGTAAAGGGTGTAAACAAAAATAGTTGAAGCGTATCCTACTCGGATAACTGTTTCGAGAAGAGTGAGATATCAATGGGTAAATAGCTACAATAATGAGAAAATTATTTATTGTAGGTAATGTAACTTGGTTTCTTCCAACAGAAATAGAAATGAAAAGAAAAGAAAAAATAAATCATTTTAGGATTCCCATAAGTGAAAAAAAATGTCTTCTCATATATAATTCATTCTTCCAGATATGACTCACAAAATATGCCACAAACAAGATATAAGGTTTTCTCCATAATATTCAAAAGGTAAAAAGTCATGTTTGCAAGTAGATAATTTTATTATGAGTAATATGCAACTTATTATGAAATTTGGATTTTTAACAAAAATGAAATACTCACTGAATATTCCGAATGTATCAATGCAACGGATTTTTTTTTATTCATTTGATTTTCTCAATTATCGTTTTTACAAAATATTCGAAGTCTTATTTAAAGAATGGAAGAATGCTAAAAAAGGCACACAAAAGAAAGGTGTTATTATCTTTCTTCTTGTATTATATTTAAAATCTTTGAAGGATTGTTGAATATCTTCATTTGATGGCAAATTAGTTTGATTAAAACAACTATCGAATGATTTAAAATTAAATGTGAATGAGTTTAATCGTAACAAATGATCAATAATAGTTGTCTTTAAATCATTACCATCAATAAATGTTTTTCTATCAGTAACGTTCAGGTACAAGTGAAGTTTTTCTAAATTTGACATTCGATGTAAAAGTGGTACAATGAACTCATCATATAACTCTGTATCTGTCTCACAATACAATGAAAAGCATCTTAAATTAGGTAGTTTTTCCTAAAAAAATACAATAATATTTTCTCATCTCCATCAAAGTTATTATTCAAAATAATATACTTTATTATTGATTGTTTCATACGGTATATTAATGAATGTAATATAAACATAGTGTATGAAGTTGATTGAATCATCCATCAAGTAAATATAGACAATCAATAAAACGAGGCACAAGTATATGTAATTCTGATAGAGTTGAAGAGAAAACAGTTGGAGGTGAAGTACCAAATGATAATTGTTGACATTCACTTAAAGATGGACCGAAATTTAAATATCGTAAATTAGTAAACATAACGAGTGACGTAGCCAGGAATTTTTGAACTATGGGCCGTTTACCAGCTAAATTATTTTGAGCACTGGGCAATAATGGGTAATTCAAAATCAATTGGGTCACTACTTCTTTCAAAAACTTCCTTCTCTCAGAAAAGTTGATGTTTGACGAAAAGAGATTTATTACTCTCAACTAAGAGAAGCTCTGTCATTTTTGCTGTTCTTATCTATAAATGGAGCTTTCGATTTTCACATAATCGGATATTTAACTTCGGAAAAAGCATAAAAAGATAAAATTGTAACTAATGACGGTAAGTATAGTAATTCCGATCCGTTGGGAATTTTTTACCAGGTGGTATCGAGTTTTTCGGATGTTTTGTATATTTTTTTCACAAAATGAGTATAAATGTATCTTTTTTTCATATTTTGAGTACTTTTTGTTGATGTAAAGGCTGTTTATGTAAAGAAGGAAGGATCAGACTGCTTGAATCAGTCAGAATTCATCACGAGATTCTTAATATATTTTTGTAACCTACTTTTACACGAACCGATACTATTATAAAAAACCTGTGTAATTGTTTGAAGTTGTAGTCTATTACAGATTTACTTGTACTTCTCTTATTATTTTTAGAACGTATCTCCTACGAACTTCAAAGACAATAAAAGAAATGTGATACGAAAATAGGTTACAGATTCTGTTAATGACTGATATTCGTGTCCGATGAGTAGCTAATGAATATGAAAAATCAATAGAATTTCTAGTGTTATGGATTTTTAAGTTCACTTATAGACGTTGCTTGAAACGAAAATGATGGAAACCCACAGTAAAAATTACTATAAAATAACTGTAACGCTATCACTGTATCGACTGGAAGATGAATATGGCTGTGTAGAGAAGTAGATGTATGTCTCTGTTATATTGTCAAAGATATGAAAAATGACTCATGTTAGCACTCATTTCGGTTCGATTCACTCGAACTTTCTCAGCGTTATCGATAAAGAAAAAAACACCACGAGTAAAATTCTACATTAGTTCACACACTGAATGGGTTTCTTTTTGACAACAAAATCTGTTGAGTTCATGGCAGTTTTAATTTTTAAGTTGCGAGAGCTATGTCATCAGTCACACTATCAAAGTATTGTACTTAGACTATTGCATTGCTATCATATAGGTTCAATATAGTTTCATAAATTCAGAAAAATCGTTGATCACTTACTCACGTTTTACATTGACGATTTGAAAAAGAATGACGAGAAGTTTGATGAAAAATACTGCTGAATTGTAATTACTGTAATTATTTGTTTAATCAGAAAAGACTGTCAAATGACCGTTCTAAATAACTACTTGGATTAGATTATTATAGGAGACAATTTGATAAAATAAAGTTATTTCGATTCTGAAAATGCATGTGTCTCAAGATGTTTTGGTATTGGGCAATAACTATCTTCCCAGAAAATTATTGGGCAATTGTCCAATGGCTACGCCACTGAACATAACACATATATGTGTGAATATAAGTCGAATAATTTCTCTTGAATTTGCTTCATCATTTTCAGTAATATCGATGACAAGTGATGAAATTTGATTTTTGAATCTATAAATTAAAGTTTCATCTAAACATAGATTGAGAACTATTGAAAATCAAACTACATTTAATATAACTTCGATTATACCGTAGATTGTTTTAGACTTTTCCAATTTATTTTGCAACATACAAATCTAATCTTCTACTAGATTTTCTCATTATTTATTCAATGGTATCAATGACATATTTCTAGCAATTAAATAAAACTATCTTATCAGTAAAGAGATATTTAACTTTTTGCATTTTAAGATCATATAAACCAAATCCATATAAATTCGAGTCATTTCCAGAAAGAAGAATTGTATTCATAGTTAATGGTTCAAGATTTAGCCATTGAAAGTTACAATGAATTTGAGATAAAATTTGTGAACAAAATCGATGAAACATTGGATACGGTAATGAGCAAATGTGACCATCTATAGAACAGTCCAACAACGTTAACACACTAGGAAATATTGGATTATGTTGAATTTTATTTAATCGTTTATTAACATCTATTAAAGAGTAAAATGCTTCGACATTGTATAGCTGTTTATAAATAATCATAAGGATTTCATCAGGTAGATCAGTTAATTGAACACATGAATATTTCATTTTCATATTTTTCTTTTTCTATACTGTTTTTAACTTATATATGTCAATATATATATATATCGGGTATTGCAAAAGTTTTCCGATATATTTTGTTTTGCATATATCTCGACTTGAAAAACTGATAAAATCTTGATTCTTTTTTCAAAACATGCGCCGTGAAAAGCTCTACAAAAACTGGATAAATAAATCTTTATTAACTACTTCTGATAGTTTTCCTAAGCTCAATATGAACAACCTCTGTGGTAGTGCTGTGTTCCTACATTATAAAAATTTTTGGAAGACTTTTTTGCTTTGCAGTTGGATTTCTTGTATAATTCAATCGAAGTACATTTAATAAAAGTAATAATTATGTAAATGGTCAATCTTCTTGTTCAATTAAATTTAAATATGATTGTAATAATAGATTTTTCTTTGTTTATTTGATAGAATTAAACCATGCCGTTGATAAAGATATTCAAATATAGATAATATAGTTTTTTCAACTAAGAGAAGAATTTTTTGAAATATATTTATATAAATGATTTTCGATATAAATATTATAAAATGTAATAAATCACGTGTATCATCTGATGAAAATTGATATGTTAATTCAATAGGATTTTGTATTGTATCAAAATAAATTGATATAGAATCTATTAATGCAATTAAATATGGTTGATTATTAGAACGTAATAAAAGACTTTTTATATAAATTGTATTAAATGTTGTTTCAATATCATTGAAATTTATTTCATTTGATATTAGTCGTTGTTTTCATAACGAAAAACGTAGATCATTGATTCTGTTAAATTAACACATCTATTGATCCACGCCATAATGATAGAATATTAATACCAAGGACAAGTCAATGAGCCATTGATAATCATACAAAGTCCTTAGAAGGAAAAAAAATTATATTTTTTTTTCAAGTCAATTTTCATTTCTATGAGAATCCTCCTAAATATTTTATTCTATGGTAAAAAAAACCTAATATCTTGAACATGGGATGCAACGGTGCGGTAATCTAAACATGTATGCCTATATACGAGAGATGTTTTAAAGAAACTATCGCGATAGTAGCAAGCTTGCAGCCGCGATGAACACCTCTAGTTTAGACTAATGGTGAACGCATGATAAAAATAAGATAGTCTCGAATTGATTTCGATTTTTTTTTGATTGGAGAGGTCATTTTCGAGGAAATAACTGAGTTTAATAAAAGTAGAGTGTAGGTTTTTCGAGTCTAGAAATCTAAATCTATAGGAGGTTTATCGAAATTTTCCAGTAAAATTTTATCGTTTTGAGAACAACTTGGGTATGCTTCGTAAAATTCAGGCTTTTTCTTTGTTTAAATAGACCTCCCTCGACCGAAAAAGTCGAAATGAATATAAGATCATTGTCATTGCTACATCCTTAATTCTAGATTTGTGATATTTATTTAGAAGAGCGTGTCATAAACTTTAAATTTCTGATTTCTTAAAATTATTTTGGGTTTTAATTTAAAAAAACAATAGAAAAACATCTTACGAGATATCTTTAAAACTATTTATGATTGTTTTCTTCATCAATCATTTTATTCTTACTTCATTGTAGACATATAATCGGATTTATTTAGTCTACTACACACAATAATCAGTATCTGAATATAGGTGAAAGTGTATTTAAACAACATTCATGTCTGAGACCAGTTTCTTCATGTAATAAATAATAAATTATTCATTTTTTTTATTGCTGGTATCAAAAAGACGTTGCTTTCTTCTGCTGTAACAGTGACAATGCAGAATGTGACCAATGAAATTCAAGACATGAAAAATCGTTAATCCTACAAAACTCTAGTATTGTCACCTGTGTACTACAATTCGTTGCATAGTATATATGTTCAAAAAGTGTTCTAAAACAAAATTAGAAGTAACAAAAGATCCTCGCTCACACTGGCACTTGTGACGAATAATTCGATCACAGTACTAATGTACCTTAAATCCCTTTGTTTACGATTTGCATTACTTGAAGCTCTGCATTTTTGCTTCTTATTAATCTATTCAAACTGAAAAATATATTAAAACTATAGTTTTATACTTGAATATTTTTTGAAAATTTGAACTATTCAAAAGTTTCATAAGTCTGATCTATTATTATCATATAAACAATGTCAAAGAAAAATAAATTTTTCTTCTAATTAGATTATATTTTAAGTAAACTAACAAGAGAACATGCCTGAATATCTTTTTCAGAATTGTCTTCGAACTATCTAATTTCGTTGACACCTTTCTACACTGATGACAATCATGATTATATTCACTGCTTAGATCCACATTTTAAGATGTGACTAAAAGTCATATTTACGTTTTTTTTTGCTGTAAAAGCCTTTTCCTATCCGTTTATCTGTACTACTTATCATACTTACACCATTCGACTGCACTTTTTTCCAATAACTTTTCGTGCCAAAAATTCTAAAGGTATCAGCAAAGATATATCATAGCAAGTTCAGCACAAATCAAAGTATAGTTGATATACAAATGCTTCGTCTTTTTGTTTAATATTTAAACCTTTTGTTTGACCACAACAAAGCATTTGAGTATGTCAACTATATATCAGATTTTGCTGTACTCATTATCATGTTCCTTTCCTGAAATTTTTAGAACTATTGACAAATAAATTTCTGAGGAAGATGCAATAGAATGATGTATATGTAATAAAATAAATATCATGGACAGACAAATAGGAAAGCTTGCAGATAAAAGTGCCTTTGATAACAGTAAAACGTATCGTAAGGAATGCGTTCTGGAACAGCTCGTTTACGTCTTTAGTGGAAGAAAAATCACGTTTTAACGCGTTTGAAAAAAATACATTTAAAGTCACCGTGATAATAGTTGACAAGAAATTTCACAATACTTTTGTTTTGTTGATGTAGAACATTCCTAGATGATAAATATGATTTAAACCGAGTCCTACTACATCATGTTAATAAATAATAATGTATCGTTCTGTCTCATTACACTCGACCCAATATATTGGACAGAACAATCACAAATAGTTGTTAATGACAATTTCTTAAAATATTATAGAAATTTGTATTTTGTCATATACGTAAAAGTATTTTTCTTTCAATAGTTACATAATGTAGCTCGAATAAAATTGAGAGAGAATGATAAAGTTTTTTTTTTATCAATTATTAATAGAATATTGAATTATCATGTTTGATCATAATGATTGAATATTATTTGAATTGTTATCAGCCTACGTCAGCAATAATAACATTGATAGATTTAATAATCTGAGACGAATTTCGTTGTAATTATGTAACTTACTTTAATATATTTATTCTTATTTTTATAATAATGAACATCAATTATTTATTTTTGTACATGAACAGAAAAAATAATATGTCAAATTTATTACAAAAGTGAAGAAAATAGGAAAAACAAAGGCTTAACAATGACGGGAAAAAAAAGAAGTGTCTTGTTCTTTACTCGTTGAAAAATACATGTAAGTTTGTTTATACAACACCGAAAAAAAAATGGAATTAACGTACATCGAGTATTTCTTGTTTGATGATCAAACGAAAAACACACATTTAGACAAAACAAAAAAATATTTGTACCATAAATAGATATACCTCACATCTTAATATTCAAACTTTAATCAGTGAAATTTGAAACAAAGAAATCATTCTTTTAAGATTGTATATTATTATCATTTCAAGGAGATTCATTTTCTTTTTTTTCATCATCTTGTTTCTTACTAATAATTGATCCATGATGTTCAATTTGATTTGTTATAATTTTCGATTTTAATTGATAATATTTCAAAGCATTATTCCATTCATCACATGGAAATCGCATATGAAAAGTAGAAATAACTGAAATAAAAATAATCAAAAAAAAATATTTTAAATATTTTTATTCATATCAATTTACTATCATCTTCATTAATCGTTGTTGTTGTTGTTGTTGTTTCATTTATTTTTGTCTATTTGAAAAAATAAAACAAATGTTTACAAAAAACAAAAATTTAATTTACTTGAATATAATTTCCAATAAGATCAAGTGACATTTCAGTTTGAAGAATTGCTCGTGTTGTTTCACAATCAAATGAACAAGCAATTAATGTTGGAAAAAGTATATCCATATATTTTGATTCAACAAAATAACGAAATGGTAAACATGATAATTGTTGTAATATAGTAGGTCGATTACCAAAAGCTAAACGACACTAAAAAAAAAGAATGTTTTGTTTTAAAATTAATATTTGAAATAAAATAAAAACTAACTTGATTATCTTGATTTAAAACACAATAATAACCAATAAGAATAATAATTTGACGTAGTAAATTATCATTCATTGGTGTTTGTTGATGATTACAATAAGCAAGAATATAATTTGCAACATGTCGAAGTTGAAGTGAAATTGTTTCTTCATCAAGAATTGTCTAAAAAAGATTTTTTTTTTAAATTAAAAATTCAAAAATTTTATTTTCTCTAACTTGAAATGTATCAAGATCGAGTATTGCAAGTGTATTCAATAAAATCATTGAATTATTTACAATAATAAATGTTTTTTCATGTACAGTTATCGTACTATTATTATCAATATTCATTTGATTATTACTATTATTATCATTTACATGAATAAGAATACCATAGATTAATGAAAGTATTTCACAAAAATTTGTTGATTTCATTATATTTAATACTTGTGCTGGATCATTCGTTGATTTTTTTGATGATTGACTAAATGGTACTTGACATATTCTAATTAAGAGATATGATATGTTTTTTTTTTTTTTTTTTTTTTTTTAATAAATTAAAAAACAACAGATTTTACTTTGGCTTAGAAAAATGAACCATTTGTTGTAAGAGATTAAGTAAATGAATAATCATATTAGGTAGATGTGATTTTGTTGTATTAACAATAGCTCGAGCTGTACGAAAAAATGATGCGATTCGATCAAGAATACCAACATTAGCCATATAACTTATAAAATAAGAATACAAATAGATAATGAAATTTTTTTTTTTTAGTAAATATTTGATTTACCTAATAAAATCAGTTAAACGACTTATTGTTAATTTATCATCATTAGTTTCATTTTCATGTTTTCGAATTTCTCTTACTATTGTATTATACATTGTAAGAAGATTAACAAGTAATTCAGCTAGATTAGTTACTAAATCAATCTGAGCTAATTTTTCACTTTCACTTTGATCAATATTTGATGTTGATAAATCATCAATTTTCAAACCCTAAATATATGTAAAATATTCAAAGATGAACAATACTTCCCAAAAAATCAAGCAGAAACATTGTTTTTTAGAAAGGGAGAAATCATTCATCCATAATAAGCAGATGTCAAAAATGAAATATAGTCCGTAGATACAGGTTTATGTTCTTTAGTTATATTTCTTCTTGATATGTATGATTTTACGTAGGGAGAACTATTTCTGCATAAATGGAAAACAATTTCCCCATCGATATGGGTTCAACTGTTCCACTGCTGCATTAGTCACTTTTGGAGTATGAATGAAGTGAGGTCTCTATTTCACCCACACCATAAAGGAAGTACAGGAAATAAAATTTATGAATGTCATAGTATCTTAAAAAGTCGTCAAGTATAATTTTTTGTGAACTCCTATAATTATTACTTACTGTTAAATGTCGAACTAAACTTTCGACAAGTGTTAAAATTTTGCCACTATTTAATATATAAAGAGCATTATCCAGATTATTATTTGTTGCTGCTCGATAAACTGATATGGTCAATGCAATGAGACTAAATTTTATCTAAATAGATTTAATATTTAATTCTAAAAATATGAATACCTTTCTGGTGCAAGAGCTGGTTTATTACATTCTGCACGTAATTCAATCATTTTAGTTAATGTTGTATAACCATTTAGACTGAAAAAAACACGTTGTTCAAGTGGTGAATCCTAAATAATTAATTTATGAATATTCTTTAAAAGCATATTTATATAATAACCTTTTCATAACCTTGTGTATCAAAAATCTTAACAAATTCAGTTAGAATACGTTGACATGTTAAATAATTTGTTGTATTTAATGGTTCTTTTCTTGCTGTTGTATTTAATGATTTTTCTAATTCATTTAAAAATCGTTGAATACTAAAAATAAAATATGATTATATATTATTTCAATATTTAAATTGAATTTTTGTTTTTTTGTTTACCGTGCTTTATGAGTTGATGTTAAAAAAGGTCGTTGAGCATTTTCAGCTTCATATGCTACTGAACTACAAAAGAAAAATATTAAATATATATAAAAGTTATTTTGTATTTAATTTATTTTACCGTTGTGTCATTCGAAGACGTAATTTTTTTGCTCGTTTTTTCATTGCATGTTTTCGTTCTCGATTATAAGCCATTTCTTGTCGTACAATATCATCATTGGTAACAATTGTTATACATTCAATATTAAATGTATCCTACAAAATAACTTGTTTTTGATTTAAGAAAACATGGAACATATATAATCTGTGTATATACAATATCTTCTTGTTTTAGTTGTTTTTTTGTTCCATTATCATTTTTTTGATTGAAACGTTCGATTAATAATTGATTATGACGTGTACCACGTAGA